TCTGAAAAGGACGGAAAGTTGAACGTGAGGTTAAGAACTAAACAATTCCAGTGCTAGTGAGTCTTCCAAAGCTGAAGGCCTAGGTGTTCCACTTAGAACGCAGAAAAGTATGCATCAATGCACTGTGCGTCGGTGGCACAGTGGTTAGGACTCTCGCCGACCATGCACATGGTCCCGAGGTTCAATCCCCTGCCGACGAACACCTGATATCTATGGTCGGCCTGCGAAATTTGGGCTACCAATATCCATGCTGAAAATTCCATACTTGTACCAAAAATACAGTGTAGAATCAAGCTGTAATCAAAATAAAATAAAAATATGGTATTGTATCACATATTTGTTTATACCTGTTTTATTTGGTTATAGAAGACATTGTTTTCTTCCATAGTAGATACGTTTATTTTATTTAACATAATGATGCAATATACTAATAACTGAAAGACGTTTTAATCACATTTTTATTGCTCATAATCATACTAGTGTATTCACCTGGTTTCGTAATTTGCTTTATATGTGCATTTTCCATTCCCTCCCCTTGTTGTTTATTGCATTTCTGCACACATATTCAGTATAGGCGTTGCTTCTTTTCCATTGCATACATAGGTGTCGATTCTCTCTCTCTCCTTGCACCTAACAATATCACTTCGTAATACTTTCACCCTATTCCACGGTATTGTGTGTATGACTACATGCAAGTGAATGCATTGCGATGAATAGCTTTCGCTTCCCACCATAATCGGAGCGCGCCGGAATCAGTCTTCTTCTTCTTCTTTTCTGTCCTAACAATCAATGCTGTCCATACATCTGCTAGTCTCCTGACACTCTGAAAGTGAATTTCGCAGATTCATCTTGTTGGCCGGGTGAGGGCAGGTGAATGACCACACTCGAGTCTTGTGCGTGTGTCTCCAAGACACAACATACATCCATGGCTCGAGATGCCAGAGTTCTTGCTTGTGATGCCTGTTGGCCAATTTTGAAGAGGGTTTTGACTTTAAATGCTCCTATATGAATTTGGCGACGTGGCTTTAAGAGGCTGTAGGGGGTGTTTCTATGGTTCTCATCGTTGTTTGTGGGTACAGAGTGAAGTGAAGATTGAATAACTTGAAGAATAGTACTGACTGCAGTAGGAGAGTAAAGAGCAATGATACATAGGAGGGCTTCGTGTGCTTTTGGAAGTGTGGGTGGTCGTTACTTCCCGGTTGCCCACGCCGTGGAAGTTGGTTGATTCTTCGGGCACCTGAAACTGTTGCGTGACTGCAGAGCCTAAGGGACAACTGCTTGAGGCCGGTTACACATGGCCTATTTGAACTGATTTCTTGGATTGGTTCCTTATTAGTAAGTTCACCGCCGGTTACGGACCCCCGTAGGGTAAGTCGGGATGCATAATTGTTGGCGTCAATCTTTTCTAACCCCCTCTCTCCATAGTAGAGAGACAGCTGAGTTGGCTAGCATGCTGGTCATCTGAGAGAAACACCTTACTGCTGTTATATCGCTGTTCCCCAGCAGTACGAACTCATCCACAGACCCCCAGCATAGTGTAAAAAAATTCTTATACTAATTCGGTAACTGCTTTTACTCTAATCGCTATTCTAACAACCTTCCTGGCATGGTAGGACCTGCAGCGACATTGGTGGTGGCACAGTGGTTAGGACTCTCGCCGACCATGCACATGATCCCGAGGTTCGATCCCCTGCCGACGAACACCTGATATCTATGGTCGGCCTGCGAAATTTGGGCTACCAATATCCATGCTGAAAATTCCATACTTGTACCAAAAATACAGTGTGGAATCAAGCTGTAAATCAAAAAAAAAATTGGTTCCAGCCAGTGTAGCTTGTTGAGTCATTGCGATGTACAAGCCCGACTACCATGTCAAGGTAGCAGCTATCCGCTGCTAAATCAGTGCAAAGTTCTATGCTGAAACCAGTCAGTCAGTCAGCATTGCGATGACCTCGTTTTTTCTAAATTAGTTAACTCGATAAAGTCAATTATTCTAGCTCTAGCTAGAATTTTATGTTCCAACCGAATAATTGACCTCAACATACTAGTTCGACCTCATCGTCGTTATATGGTGTTCGGCAAATTATATCATTTTTCTTCTAACAGGATCTATCGGTTCTTTAAGCCGACAAAGTGATTTGATTGACTGGTTGGTTGTTTGGTTTAAATACCATCTTAATTTCAGCCTTATTGAGAATTTTACCTAGGGCCTCTGATCTTCCTTTAAGGATTAAGGCAGCAGCATCTTGTGGCTGTGGCGCAACCAGTCAAGATCTCCCTCTTTCCCTCAGTGTACCAGCTTGCTCGTCTCGTCTTGCAAGAGCGAGGGATAGGAGTGTTCGGTTTGCCAATGTATAAATGCTCAGTCAATAGGTGTATGATTATGTGCATTGGTGGTTCAGCGGTAGAACCCTCTCTAACCACACTTTACGTGGTCTGGGGTTCGATCCTCAGCCGAAACACTCCTAAACCTGTCTAAACTGCTAAATAGTGGGAGAAACTTCAAAGCTCTAGCTTGAAGTCCTATGTTCCACTGGTAACATAAAGAAATAAAATAAATAATAAAGCAAGTTGATATCAGTTAGACAACCATTGAAAACTAAGGAGTACTGGACAGGCAGCTATTTCATCCTAGTTTGGGAATCATCGGCAGTACGCACCCACTAGGGTTACAACGCAAGCTAGCTCGTATATCATTCAGCTACTGGGACTCGATTCAGTGGCCAGTTCATGAATTTTAAATCCTACCAATTCGTGATGAATATTGCGCGACCACCAACCAATGTCATCGGCGAGACATCCATCCTCACACACTTGACTGGATAGACCTCACTCACTGCTCACTAATGACTTGTTACTACAGGACGGCTTTTTCCAAACTAGAACGAAGCAGTTGGCTATCCATTACTCCAGTGCTAGTTTTCAATAGTTCTCTAACTGATATCAGTCTGTGATCAAACTCGTAAAAACAAATCTAATCCTTACAAACCAACTTTTGAAAATAAAGTAAGCTGTCTAGCTGTGTCTGTGTTTGTTCTCTTTTGTTTGGTGTGCCTCAGTAGCATACTTATCACTCCTGCCCTGTGACACGGCAGCAGGAAGCGCGGTCGTTGTTAATCCGGGCCACGGCCTATCCGGCATGAAATTTTGTGATTTTGTATTGGTCATGATGTTGGATTGGGTAGCTGCTTTTTGTTTAACCGCTATCCAAACAACCTGCCTGGCATGGTAGGACCTCAAGAGACATAAGTCTCAGCCAGTATAGCATGAATAGATCATTGCGGTGTTCAAGCCCGACCACCACGTCAAGGTAGCAGCTTTCGGTCGGTCTAGTTGTGTGAATACACTGAAGATGATGATATGATTATAAACAATAAATTTATGCTTGAAACATCATCCAGTTATTAATACTGTGTCATTACACTATATGTGTGTGCTTTATATCAAGTGAACTTGTCTAACATGAGACTATATTCTCTTATTAGTTTGTTCATTAGATGGATATATCACACAGTGAAACAGTATTATTTACTGGATGACGTTTCGAACGTGACTTATCGTTGTTCACAATCATTTCATCAATTATAGTCACACAACTTCGAAATCTGAGTTTTACAGTTTTCTTTGTTCTCTCCTATTAGTCGTCACTAGAGTGGTAGAATTATCCTGATGTCTTACAGGAGAGGTGTTGAATCATTCCTATGGCACGTGTTTGCAGTTGATTCGATAAAAAAAGTTTCCGTTGTTATCAGTCTCTCCCTCCACCCTACTGTTACATTGCATTAGATTTTAAAACCGTCATCTTATCCCATCCATCCTATTGTATGGTTGTGTGTGTGTGTGTTTGTGTAATTGCATGTAGTGGTATAGCGGAACTATTCTCTAGATTTCTTATCTTATTCAGGTCAACCAATCTAGATTTTACTGCTCGGTTTTTATGCTCGGCTAGTCTGACTGACTGCTCCTGTTCTACTAGTTTGACCTATGTATTTGACCTGACAATTATTCAAGCAGGGTATTATTATTATTGTTCCCTTGGATTCCTAGTGGAACATAGGCCTTCAACTGCACGTCTCCACTTGCTTTTGTCTTCCTTCTGCTGTACGTTTCACCTGCATCCATGTTAGTCCATACTGTTTCCACTCCTCTTCACACGAGTTCCTCCATGTCACCCTTGCACTGACGTCCCACTCGCCGCTTCCCTTTCGGCCTGGCTCCACTCGAGCAATGGCCTGACGCGCACGCGATGTCATCCAGCGGCGGCCTCCTCAGCGAGCGAGTGTCCAATCCATTTCCACTTTTTCCTACATATTTGTTGGGCGATTGGTTCTTGCTTTGTTTGTTCCCATAGTCCCTTGTTGGTGATTCCTTCAGGCCCGGCCATCCGATCTTCAGTATAGAGCGGAGACAGTTGTTGATGAAGGTCTGTAATAACCTGTTGGAAATATTCTTTGTGACCCTCCCGCCAAGTTTCTCATCCGTTCCATATAGAAGAACTGACTGACTTGACGTTGTTTGTATTGAAAATCCGACTGAATTTTGTTGTTGATGCTAGCTAAGTGATGAAGATTTCGAGATTGGTTGTTTCAGGTTGATGAATGTGTTTCTCGCCTGCCTCTCCGATTCTCGCTCGATATGACATCCTCCTCGTCCGTTCCGACTGGCTGCAGTTGAGACAATGCTCCCTAGATAAGAAGCAGGGTATTAGATAAACTAAATTGTTTTGTTTCAAAAGCTCCACAGGATCCTTTAACCGCCCCCGCTTGTCTCTAATTGAGTTTGTAGTTGGTTTGAATGCCAACCACTTTTATTCCTGACTTGTTAAAAATTCTCCACTGTAAGGTAGTTTCCGAGGTTCTTTCCTTGTATGGAATTACTTACTACCACAGTGCCCAAGTTTTACGCACATATATATTCATATATTCTCCTACATTACTGAAATTCCAATCTCTTACCAATATTGATTTGTCTACTTTTTCTTTTCATTTTTCTTTTCACAGCTCTTTTCTCCTGATTGTATATTTAACTGGAATAATAATTATTTTCATCATCATCATCATCATCATCATCACTGTCGTCATCATCATGGACGATCAAGTAGGTAAATCTGTCTCCTGAATAAGGCAAATAATCCTTTTCTATTTTCCTTCGTCCTCTTTCCTCTTCTCTTTCAAATAGCATCAAATGCCATGTTGGTATTATGAAAAAGAAGAATTATATAAAACACCATCGTATTATGATAATATTGATCATGAAACAGAGACACGACATCGTCGTGAAGGTGCAAGATTTCTCTCAGCTGTTAGTACGAAATTAAATCTACGCTATGATACATGTGCTACAGCTATCGTATTCTTTCATCGTTTCTATATGTTTCATTCATTTAAAGCATTTCCACGTTATGTAAGTAAAAAAGTGTATCTATGCATGATTGTATATTAAATTTATTAAATATTAAATTTAGGCCTATTGCAATTACTTCTCCTTTTTTAAAATTGATGGAAAAATTACTTTTACTTCGTCTTGAACCTTCGTTGAAACCTTTTAATGATCCTAAACAATTTGCATATAAACATGGTAGATGTACCTTGGACGCGGCGGTTGGCTTATATCATAGTGTTGTTTCTTGTTTAGACAAAGGTGCCAAATATGTTCGTAGTGCTTTCTTAGACTATACATCTGCTTTCGACTCTGCACCTAGGGGTCTTTTATTAAATAAGCTATCGTTGATGCAAACAGGATCCTGGGCAAAGAGTTGGTTGCATTCTTATTTTTCTGATAGATTGCAGTATAGTGTATATAATGGCAAATGTTCTTCTGCCTCGCTTGCGAAAGCCGGTGTTCCTCAAGGTGCCGTCCTCTCTCCTTTTCTTTTTTCTTTCTTCCTACACGACCTGCCTCATTTAAACGAAACTAGCTTTATCACATATGCAGATGATTTGACTGTATTACTGCCTATCACTTCCGAGTCTGACTGCTGCAAATTTAATGGCTTTCTGTTGGACATCAACAAGTGGTCTAAGTCAAATGGTCTTATGTTAAATCCTTCCAAATGTCAGGCAGTTAACTTTACTTTCAAGCATCGACGTGACATACATGAACTAGTTAGTTCCCATGATGCCTGTAGCATAGATGGCACTGAAATTGAAAACAAGTCAAGCAGCATTAAATACTTTGGATTAGTTCTTTCCTCTCTGACCTTTCATGGTCATCCCACATTCCACATCAATCTCTAAGAAAATGTTTCGTCTTACCGTCTACATTAAAAAGTTAAGACAATCACGTATCAACTAACCTTTACGTCTGCAGTTTGTAAACTCCTGTATTTTACCTATTGTACTCTTGCTCTCCATTAATCTTTCCTGGGCTTTTCAAAAAAAGACTATATCATATTACGAAGGGTATTAAGTGCTGTAAGTAGGGCTCGTGGTATGCCAGTGTGTGAGCTCGCCAATATTATAGTCGAGAGACACATAAATTTCTCTACAAAATGGACAAAGGCCGTACTGTCAGATCCCCTTTATTCACACCTATCTCCCTGTATCTCATCAGGTAGGACGAGAAGTCAATATAAGGAGTTATATGTTCGAACCACTAAGTACAAAAATTCTACAATACCCTATTTAGCCCATACTTTATGTGATGAAGACACTGTTAGACGTGAAACATATAAATTACTATGTAATTAGCAAAGTGAATCAACCCTTTCATCGTTCATCGTCCTGTAATTTTATACTTTATCCATATTTTTCTCCTTATCGCATACTGTAATTTGCTACATAGCTGTGATAACAGCGTTTTATTATTATTATTATTATTATTATTATTATTATTATGTAGTTAGTATACAGTTGGTGGATGGTGGCTAGCAGTGGAATCCAGGGTACGCATTTCGTCCTATTTGGGACTCGTCAGCTGGGTTTACCTGCATTTCTCAGTGAGTGATGACGTTCCCACCGAGGCTCGAACCCAGTACCCATAGTTTCAAACGCCAAAGCGTTATCCACTAGACCACTTGGGCCACCGAGCACTTCGGTCCAATCAGTCGACGGGAAAATCAAAAATTCAATTCAATAATTAATATGACCCGTTGCACAAGAAGTGGCTCTCGTGGCCCAAGTGGTCTAGTGGATAACGCTTTGGCGTTTGAAACCATGGGTACTGGGTTCGAGCCTCGGTGGGAATATCATCACTCACTGAGAAATGCAGGTAAATCCAGCTGACGAGTCCTAAATAGGACGAAATGCGCATCCTGGATTCCACTGCTAGCCACCATCCACCAACTGCATACTAACTAAATGCCCGGACATCGTCGAAGCATCTGCACAAGAAGCCGACATGTCAACCTGAGACCGAGCACTTCGGTCCAATCAGTCGACGGGAAAATCAAGAATTCAATTCAATAATTATTATGTAGTGTTTATTTTTTTGTCGTTTTTGAGTAAATTAGATGCAATATTCTACTGAATGCTGAGAATTCCTTGCTGTATCATTAGTACTGTTTTTGGAATAAAGCAAAATTATTATTGTTGTTTTTCTTGTATAGGTCACAGCAGCTTGTTGTTTAATGTTAGCTGGTAAAGTGGAAGAGACACCGAAAAAAGTTCGTGATATTGTTAAAACAGCTAGATCACTATTATCAGATGAAGATTTTAAACAATTTGGAAATGATCCAAGGGTAAGTTGATGATGTTTTGTCATGGTGATGGTAGCGGTCTTTTCAAATTCATTTTTCCTTTCAAATGAACTGTCGTCAAGATTTGACAGAATAGTAATAAAATATTTGGGCGCCGGGTAAGAAGTAGACATTTTTCATAAAAAAGTATATTTGTAAAATCTCAGCGAGATTGAAATGAGTAATTCCAACGTTTCCTGCGTTCGGCAATCCACTCCAAACTTTTTCAGGGAGATTAATCGAAATTAACATAACTGAGGTTTATATATAAAAGGAACATCTCTTATTTTTGAGAACTGTCCAATCATTAGTCATAAAACAAGTATTAACAAGTATAATAAACAAAAAATTGTATGAGCTATGATCAAAACTTGACCTCGAACTTACAAATATTGGTCTACCTTTGTTAAACACTTTAAACACAGTGTGTATGTGTGTGTGTGTGTGCGGATAAACAGTTGTAAAACAATGTCTTAACGTCTCCATAAGTAGATATAGACAGTCAGGAAACTTTGACCAAGTATTATTAACTTTCTATAGTTTGGTTTGTAAGGATTAGTTATGTTTTACGGGTTGATCACGGATTGATATAAGTTAGAGAACCATTGAAAACCAGGGAGTACTGGACAGCTGCTGTTTCATCCTAGTTTGGGAATCATCGGCAGTACGCACCCACTGGGATTCGAACCCGGGACCTTCCGGTTACAAGGCAAGCTCGTATACCATTCAGCCACTGGGACCCGATTCAATGGCTCGTGAATTCTAACTTCTACCAATTCGTGATTTTAGCGCGACCCCAACCATTGTCGTTGGTGGGACATCCATCCACACACGTGACATCTAATTGGACCTCACTGGTCACGACTTCTCACTAGAACTCAGGAAACTCCAACCTGTAGCAAGTCACTAGCGAGCATCAGATTAACTTTCTATAGTTTGGTTTGTAAGGATTAGTTATGTTTTACGGGTTGATCACGGATTGATATCAGTAAGAGAACCATTGAAAACCAGCTAAATCACGAATTAGTAGAAGTTAGAATTCACGAGCCATTGAATCGGGTCCCAGTGGCTGAATGGTATACGAGATTGCCTTGTAACCGGAAGGTCCCTGGTTCGAATCCCAGTGGGTGCGTACTGCCGATGATTCCCAAACTAGGATGAAACAGCAGCTGTCCAGTACTCCCTGGTTTTCAATGGTTCTCTAACTGATATCAATCCGTGATCAACCCGTAAAACAAGTATTATTAGTTAGTGATACATATCCATTCTTATTTATTAATCAGGATTTCCTACGCATCAGCTAACATCACACCTTCATGTCTGTTCAAACTGTTAGTATCTAGAATTTTATGATTAGACGTATTTTCAAAATTATGGTGTTTAGGATTAGAGTTTAGTTGGAGCACCCTATCGAACTTATTACTTTGTCTTCTTTCTGAAGATTGAGCTGCTTTATTCGACCTACTAGAGTTGACAAGTGACTGGACAGCTACGGATTTAGGATACGCATTCTGTTGCACACAACGGAGAGTGAGAACAGGATTTTTTGTTTGTTTTTTTCCTTCACGTTTCCCGGTGGAACATAGGGCCTCAAGCTAGTGGCTTGAAGTTTCTGTAGCAGTGTTTATTTTACAGGATGGGGTTGCTAGCTTCATGCCCAACCTTTACGCTTTACCAGTCTGGCTACTGGCTTGGCGAAGTGAAGGAGTGCGCCGGCCGGGAATCGAACACCGGATCATGTGCATGGTCGGCGAGCAACACAACCGCTGTGCCAACGACGCCATGACGATTGTGTCAATTACACACACACACACACATACAAACTATGTTTAAAGTGTTTAACAAAGGTAGATCAATATTTGTAAGTCTGAGGTCAAATTTTGATCACAACTCATACAATTTTGTTTATCATACTTGTTCTATTAATCATGACTGGACGAAGTTTTTAAAAACAAGTGATGTTCCTTTTATATATAAACCTCAGTTATGTTAATTTCGATTAGTTTCGCTGAATAATTTCGGACCAGATTGATGAACGCAGGAGACGTTGGAATTACTCATTTCAATCTCGCTGAGATTTTACAAATATAATTTTTTATTACAAATGTCACTTTTCTTTCCTTTTTCTTTCTCATTTAATTTTATCCTTGTTTTACAGGAAGAAGTTATGGCCTATGAACGTGTTTTATTAAAAACAATCAAATTTGACTTACACGTCTCACATCCATATTCATACTTATTACAATATGCTAAACGAATAAAAGGTTAGTGTGTACTTCTGTTTGTGTGGGTGTATGTGTGTTGTGAATTTCTTTCTTTAAACACCTAGCTGGCTACTGATATATATATCCATATAATATGTGTGTTTGTTTGACAGTCTGATATATTTCGCTATGTATATATGGATCGATATTCCATTATAATTAGCCAATCATGTTAAGACTGTCTATTGATTTGTTCATTTTGAATATTCGCTCTCACACTTGTGTTCACACACTTGTTCGGACATTCATATATATTTTTGCTCTCACACTCTTGTGGGACACTTTGGATTCTCCTTGTGTTTGGAAAATAGAAGTATCATCGCAAACCTAGTGGTCTTCTGATTTCCGTCTTTCTTGTGTCAGAAGTATTAAATTCTCGACCAGTACATAACAATAATTTGGCGACGAGTACATAACAACTACTAACCGGTCTTATACTTGGATTGACTGACTGATTAGTTTTAACATGTACAGAACTTTTCACAGGCGTGCAGCAACTCAACCTTCCACACCCTATGTAACGCACTGATGAAAAGTCCCGAACTACGACAAAACAGCTGTCCAGTACTCCCAACTGGTTTTCCAGTGGTTCTCTAACTGATGTCAGCTCATAATAAAATCCTCCATGCAATCAAACGAAATCCCTACAAAACCAATACTTGAGAATTATTCTGATGCTCACTAGCGACTGGCCCTATTCAGGAAGTTAGCCTTGTGTTTTAGTGGGAAACCGTGACCAGTAGGGTACAGCAGGTTAAAGATGAGACAGTAACTCATCGAAGAAGACATTGCGAAGTGGTCGCGTATGTCGTGTGTGAATTGACAGAAGTAAGAATTCAAGGACCATTGAATCGGGTCCCAGTGGCTCAATGGCCTACGAGCTTGCTAGCCGTGTAGCCAGGAGGTCCTTAGTTCGAACCCTGCCGGTGGTGGGTGCGTACTGATGAAGAGTCAGCCCCAAACTAGGCTGACGAAACAGCTGTCCAGTTCTCCCAGATTATAATGATAATAAAAATAATGACAGTGAGGTTTATGCAGGTGGCTATAAGAATAACTAAGGTAGTAATATGTGTGTATATGTAGACAATTCAATAAATAAATACATTAGGTTAAATCATAAAAGTTACGCAATGCTCAGAGTGAAGTAGACAGATAATCAGAATTTCAATAAATTTCATATAAATACGAAGGAAATGGAAAATAAGAAAATGTGTGTGTGTGGGGGGGGGCAATTAAAATTTACCTAGGCCAATGGGGAGACAAAAGCAGAACAAACTTCTTTTGTTGTATGCAAAGACACTAGGATTATTCTCTCGAATTAATTCCAATAGCCTCTTCTGCTATGTGTAAAAAAGCGGGTTCGAATTCCGTTCGAAAGGCTCGGTAGAATGCGATAGATAACTTTAAGGGGCACTATTTCTGCCTACTTGGTGACCATTATCAATCAAATGAGCTGAAATAGAACTTCTCATAGATTTTTTTTAATTTGACCTTTTCCGAACCATTAAGTAGGGATGCTCAATAATACGTTTTTTTTTTAGCTGTCTAGTTACTCGCCATACATAGTTCTCTCCATAGGAGTAACTAAATTTATAGATACACATAGAAGTGAGTGACACAGCTAGGTAGCTTGTCTTTCGCTTGAGCAATCATAAGTGGTCGGCTGGAAAATAAATGACAAACAAATGATGGCACCAGTATAAGTCTGTTTTATTGCTCTTGATAACCTTAGATGTAAGACTCCACTAGCCATGTCTCCCCATTAAAATGCAATTATAGGAACAGTTGTTTCTTTGTAAACTGTTTTCAGTTCCTCTTTATTGTACCTGGTGTTCATGTGTATCCTTACAAATCTACTAGGATAACTGATAGGATCCCACATATTTTGGTATTGACTGTTAATCTTGCATATATGGTATGTTATCATTCTCACACATTTTGGTATTGACTGTTAATCTTGTATATATGGTGTATTATCATTCTCACACATTTTGGTATTGACTGTTAATCTTGCATATATGGTATATTATCATTCCCACACATTTTGTTACTGACTGTCAATGTCGCACATATGGCATATTATCATTTCTCACACACTTTGTTATTGGCCATTAAGGTCAATTATTTCAAATGCTGTTAGCTGTCCATATTGTTGTAAAATGTATAAATACCATGGTTTTCTTTATCGTTGTTGCACTTCAATACACAGTCACAGTCCAGCCTTTGTCTTTTGATATTTGCGTGCTTTACTAAATCGGAAGGTACGACAAGCAGATAGGCAGATTAGTTCAGGCGCAGACAGAATAAGGTGAAAACGTCTTCATCTAATTCCCTACAGTTATAACAATAACCCATTTGGACCAACGTATTTGCGGATGTATCCTAACTCATTTTCTAAGAAGCCATCTGTACAGATTTGTCTTGCTCTATTCATGAGGCGGCATCTGACCAAATTGATTTTGTATCGGATTGAAACAAAACTGAGGAAATGCGTAAATTGTCCTACTGACGTAGGTTTTTCTGTAGACATCTCTCTTGAGTGAACCATCCTCTCTTCTGTTCAATTGGACGTCAAGGAAGTGTAGTCTACCATCATGTTTTTTTTTCACAAGTGAAGGTGAACGATGGATGTGCATCATTAAACTTTTTTTTAACGTTTCATTCTTGTCAGCTTTCACATCAAGAATAATAATAAACGTATCATCAACATAACGAGAATAAGAACCAGTTTTATGGATTGCTTATTTCAGTGGACTATTCAGAAATACAGTTACTGAAAATCCAAGACCCTTCTATGTTCTACTTTGAATACAATGGTGACGAATTCTTCTTTGTGTTATTCTTTTTTAACCCCCCCCTCCCCCACTTAGGTAATCAAGAAAAATTAAAGGAATTAGTTCAAATGTCATGGTCATTTATTAATGACAGTTTAGCAACAACTTTATGCTTACAATGGGAACCTGAAATCGTCGCTTGTGCTGTTCTATATTTAGCTACACGTATGAGTAAATTTGTTATAGAAGATTGGGAAGGACGTCAACCAGGTCAACGTTGGTGGGAATGTTTTGTTGAAGGAATGAGTACTGAAGTAAGTAAATTGTTTTTTTCCGGGTGGGTAGTTACCCTTGAGTTCTAATGGGAAGTTGTGACCAGTGACTAGGGTATACAGAATATTGGCTATTCCTACCAGTCACGCTATATCGTGAATTCATGGACTGGTCATTGGGTCGAATACCAGTGGCTGAATGCTCTACGAGTTATTCGTCTTGTAATTGGACTGTCCTGGGTTCGAACCCCGGAGGAGTTTCAAACTAGAATGAAACATATTAATACATGTGTAAAACTTGGGCACTACGGTAGTAAGTGACTCCTTATTAGTTTGTTTATTAGATGTATCACACAATCAGTGAGACAGTATTATTTACTAGATGACAAAGTTTCGAACAAAATTTATTGCTGTTCATAATCATATCACCAATTCATAATCACACGACTTGGAACCTTGAGTTTTATAGTTCTTTTTGTTGTCTCCTATTTGTTGTCGTAGGGGGTAGTGGAACGCATTCTCCAGATGTCCGAGTGGACAGGTGTTTAATTATTCGTATTACACGTATTCTCTCTCAGTTGATTCGATAAACAAAGCTTCTCTTACCAATCTCTCCCTCCCTCCACCCCGCTGTTACATGAGATTATATTTTAAAACTGTCATCCTATCCCATCCATTCTATTGTATGGTTGTGTGTGACTGCATGTAATGCTACAGCTTAACTATTCTCTAGATTTCTTACTTTATTTGGGTCAACCAATCTAGATTTCGCTGCTAGGTTTTTATGTTCAGCTAGTCTGACTGACTGCACCTGTTCTACTAGTTTGACCTATGTATTTGACCTGACAATCATTGCAGGCAGGGTACTAGATAAACTAAATTTTTTTGTTTTAAAGGCTCCACAGGATTGATCCTTTAAGCGACAAAGCTTGTTTCTAAATGAGTTTGTGGATGGTTTGAATGCCAGCCACTTTTATTCCTGCCTTGTTAAGAGTTCTGCGTAAGGTGTTTTCTGAGATTCCTTCGTTGTATGGAATTACTACTGATGAATTAGATTCCTTATTGTTGGTGTCATCATTAATATTATCACTATTGCCACTATTATTATTATCGTTATTATTGTTATTATTATTATTATATATTATATCAGAGAACAAAACCACATCAAAAATACCTCCATCATACTTTTGATGTGGGTGGTGATGAACGTTTCAATCGCTATGTTTTCTCACCTATCCATGAATATATATCAGCTACAACCGGGGACATTGGTTATCCCATGGCAACTCCCTCAGTTTGTTTGTATATTTTTTCCTGGAATTTAAATACTGTGGAAGTCAAGCATAGCTGCATTCCCCAGCATTATGTCCTCAAGTGGCACTTTCGTTCTAAGTTCGAGTTCTTGGTCAGAAATGAGTTCGTTTCTGACCGCCTCTATAGCCATATTTATTGGTATCCGTGTATATAAACTGACAATGTCAAAACTAACCATTTTTTTCTTCAATATCTAATTTTAAACTATCTAATTTGTGTTTTAGTTCATAAGAATTTGTTAGTCTAGAATTCAAGTGGCTTTTTAGAGGATTTAATATCATGGCTAAATATTTAGGTAATTCATAAGTACATGAATTTGTAAAATCAACTATAGGCCTAATAGGGTATCCTGACTTATGATTTTTAACAACACCATACATCCTACTGGGGTTATTAGTTTTTGGCATTAAATTAAACCACTTAAACTCACTTAGAAACGGCTTCATTCGGCGTATAAGGTCCGCTGTGGATTTCTTAACTTTATTCATAACTGTGTCTATTGATTTATTAATTTCCTCATATGGTCCTGTTTGTATGTGAGTATTTACCTTGTCCAAATAGTCCGATTAGTCTAATACTACTGTTGCGTTCCCTTTGTCTGACTTTGTGATTACTATATCCTTGTTATTCTTGAGGTGTTTCAGGGCTTCTGTCTCTTGTTTTGTCAGGTTAGGTTTTCCACATTTTTGTCGTTTCAATGTAAGTGCACATTGTGCACGTACTGCTTCAGATGTTGTTTTGTCTATCCCACTTAGTCCTATTTCTATTTTAGGGATGACATCCTCAGGTTTTAGCTTGTCCACCGCTACATTGAAGTTTAGTCCCTTTTCTAATGCACTTATTTCCATCGGACTTAATATATGTGATGAGAGATTGATAACCCACTTTGATTTATCGATCGCCGTTGATTTTGGATTGTTGACTTCATTATTCTGAGATGAAGTACAAGCTGTTGTTATGTGTGGCTCATCGGAGCAGATGCTCGACTTCCAACCAAGGGTGTGGGGGTGACGCGTTCAAATCTCGCTCCACTTACCGAGGTTTGGGAAGCCAACCATGTATTATTTTATCACTAGCCCCATGAATGCGGCAGCTGGGGTGTTCCTTACCAATTGTTTGGAGTTTCAATTGGTTGTTAAGTAGTTTTTTTCATTTCATTTCTATAGTACTAGAAGCACAGCTCAACACTCAAGAAGTGGAATAATCATAATTTTTTGAGTATGGAATTTTTTTGGTGGAGGGATGGGGGGGCGGTATTTTATTGATTATCATTTTGTAATCAAAACTTGTAGCTAATCAAATCCCTGCAAAATCAATACTTGAAGATTAATCTTCCAATCACTATTTATTTATTATTATTTAAACACAGGAAACATGGTACAACATCGCAACAAGACGATTCTCGAGGTTCTCTAACTGATGTCAGCTCATAATGAAGTCCTCCATGCAATCAAACAAAATCCCTACAAAACCAATACTTCAAAAATTAATCTGATGCTCACTAGCGACTGTCCTCATTCAGGCAGTTAGCCTTGTGTTCTAGTGGGAAGCCGTGACCAGTAGGGTACAGCAGGTTGAAGATGAGACAGTAACTCATTGAAGAAGACATTGCAAAATAGTCGTGCGTGAATTGGCAGAAGTTGAAATTCATGAGCTGGCCGTTGGATTGGGTCCCAGTGGCTCAATGGTCTACGAATTGTTCGATGTCCATCATCAGACAGTCCAATCGTAAGCGCTTGGCACACATTCGCATTTACCCTTTCATACTTTTCTGAATGGAACACCATTCTCGCCCCGCTTGAAAGTTATGATCAATTGGCCACATGAGAAGACAGTTCACAAGAGGATGACCGGAAGAAGTGTCTAGCTAATCTCGACCGTACTGGGTCGGTTTATGTGTGTGTGTGTGTGTGGAGGGGAGGGGGCTCTGCATAAAGTAGAATTTCTTAAAAATTTTAAATTACAATCCATCTTTATGTCTTCAAGTTTCTATATGTTTTCGCTTTTGTTCTACTTTTTCTCAAAAATAAAAACAATCAGGTTATGGAGGATATTTGTCATAAAATTCTGGATTTATACCCCGCTGATGGAGCTACTAATGACGATCAGTTTGACGGTGGTAACGTCACCACAAACAATGGCAGCAGTTCTACTACTCCCTCCAGTAGTAGTAACCTTGTCGGTAGTAGACATCATGAGCATACATCTTTTCATAATACTCTACACCATGATGTGAATAAGTATCATGGCGTGAGTAGTAGTAGAAGTGTTGGTGGTGGTTCGAGTAGTGGGAGTAGCAGTAGACACCGTGGAAGTGAAGCTATCGGAGGAACAAGAGGTGGCGGTGGCAGCAGCAGTGGTGAACCACCAGCAAAACGACAAGCTTTAATTCGTTCGACCAGTGCAACTGATTATATCTATCCAACGGCTGTATATCCTGGTGCCTCAGCTAGTGGTGCTATTTCACTGGGTGTAGAGAATACTATGCTAAAGCATATGGCATATCATTCATCATCAATGCATTATCGTCTACCGTCTGGATCGAGTGTAAATAGTAACCATAGTAACAGTAATCCGAATGCGTATAAATAAAGATGTATATACCTGTAAGTTATTTATTGGTGAAATTAATATTTTGGATGTTTGTCGTGTAGAGTTGTATGTATATCATTAGCGGCTGCATCGATTGAGAGGCGGCTAAGATTTGTGTGATGCACATGCTAAGCCATTACCTCTTTCAACGAATAATGTACGCTGTAATAGGACTAGACTGGAGGACAGTTTAAGGTGGCAGGCGAGGGTGTGGAGGTTTGTGGTGGTCAATTTACAACAATGGCTGATACAGGGTCAGGCTGGTAAAGATCTAGTGGCGGTCAAACCAAAACATGACTTCATCAGTCAATGAAATACACAACAGTTAGTTTAAACTACGCAGGAAGGTGTAGACTTCCGGGTTGGGGTCCTCAGGACGGTGAACACCAATGGCGGCTGGACACAATTAGGGATATGGCTCAAAATCGTTCTTAATGAATAGCGTGGATGCACCCACTCCCTGTGACTTAAGATTTCCAATGAAACTGTTTTGTTCTTCGTTATCACTATTCCTTTGTCTCACACCTCTATTTACTGTCTTTATTATGCATTTCTTCTACTTTCTTCTCTTGCTTTGTGTGTTACATGGAAGGAGTGTGGCGACTTGAACTGCTGCACATATGTGCAAAGTTCTATGTCGAGAACCGACAGCAATGGCATCTTTGTGGATATTAAATTGTTGGCACTCACCAGGCAGCAAAGCGGCCTATCTGCAACTTTAAAGGAACAACTCATGTCCCTCCCTTTCTGAGATTCGAACCCGCATCACCCAATGAGTGCTGTAATCGGAGACGTTACCACTGAGCTAGCTAGCTAGCTAGCTATTCGGGCTAGCAATTTACCTCCTGTAGGACTACTGTTTTGAATATTTTGATTGTAGATACGTCGCCTTGCCGACTGATGAGTTCCTGCAAGCCCGAAACCTGGGTCAATATAAAGCTTCCTCTCGATTACCTCCAACTATCTAATATCAAGGATGCAAAGTGCACCGTAATGATGGTGAGCCACGTAGAATGGACTAGATACAATACACTGTTGATTTGAATCTCAAGTAGAGAGCTGTAGACTATCTGAGTGTGTGGTCGGTTCTCGAGGCACTAAGGACCAACAGCCTGAGATTCACAGTCAATGGTACAGATCCATTCTTTCATTTGTAATCTTCTGTATCCACTAAATTCTTGTCATTGTCCATACACCGTCTCTGGAGTAGACTTGATATCCGACTGGCTGTTGACCAAAGAGCGTTTGTACTGCTCAGAAAAACGCTCCATCCTCCTTCACGACTGGCTGTAAGACCTGGTCATTCAGAGTAGAGAACATGACCATAGGTGTCTGTCTTCTTTCTCCCGTGTTAAGTGATATAATAAGGTGAGTAATATCGAAGTTAGGTGTTAGGTACTAGGTAGGGAGCGAGGGGAAATCAATTTACGACTCTGTGAAGTTACATCGACTAAGATAATGACGACATGTGTTATGCATGCATGCATACCTAGTCATCACCTTCCTCGACAAGCAATGTTAGCTGACATAAGATCGATGAGACTGGAAAAGAGCCACTGGTGGTCAAATCAAAAGGTGGCTTCATCAGTCAATGAAATACACAACAGTTAATTTAAGCCAGCCACGTAGGGAGGTGTAGACTTCCTAGTTGGGGTCCTCAGGACGGTAGCTGCTGTCGATCTGGAGGTGATTTGGAAACTACTTCGCTACTATCAAGGGGTGCCGCCAACAATTACACAGCTCATCAAACAGTTGTACGATAATGCTGCGTTCCAATTAATCCACAACAGGAAACTCATGGAATCCTTCGAAGTGAAGATGGGAGTAAGACAAGCTGGCTGACCGCCTACTATTTCCAATGATACTCCTGATTGCAGTAGATTGGATAATGCGACAGGCAGCAAGCCGGGCAGTGAGAAAACAGGCATAAAATGGACCTGCACAAATAACTTCGAGGATCTGGACTTCGCCGATTAAAGATGTCTGATCACCCACAAACTGGAAGATATGCAAGTGAAAAGCAGCAAGCTGGCAGAAGAAGCATCCAGTGAATATGGGACCTCCTTCAGGTGAACATGGAGAAAACAGAGGTAGGTGACGAAGATTCCTGGCCAATAGACACAGCAACAACAACAATCAGCCAACAAAAATGGGAGAAATCTGAAAGGAGCAACCTCGTCTATCTACCTACCTAACTGGGAAGCATCGTCTCAACTACAGGCAGACAGAACTGACGAGGATGTCAAAGCGAGAATCATCGGGAAAGCAAGGCAAGCTTTTATTTCTCTCAAGTCTGTGTGGAGGTCAACAGCACTCAGCATGGAAATGAAAATAAGATCCGGATTTTCAACTCCAATGTGAAGTCAGTGCTAATTATTATACGGATCAGAGACTTGGCGCTGCGTCACGAGAAGCACTTCAAACAAACTACAAACCTTCATCAACAGCTGTCTTCGCTCAATACTTCGCCCGCTTCAGATCAGATGACCGGCCAGAAAAGATAAGCAATAGAGAGGTATATCTGCCAATAAACGAACCAATTGTGCAAGAAAAATGCACGAGGAAATTGAGGTGGATTGGCCATACTCTGAGAAAACAAACCATCAAATGAGTGACATCACACGCCAGGCCATCACTCGAGGGGAACCTGAATGGGAGTTGGCGAGTTGGTCGTCAGTTTGAGTGTGACATGGAGAAGGAGGAGGTGATTTGAAGAGGAGATGAGGGCATGTGCGCAGACGTGGAGTCAGGTGAAAAAGTTGACGGAAAGTTGAATGCGATGCAGACGTTTGCCTTTAGCCCTAAATCCCTCAGGAATTAAAGAAAACAATAATAATAGAGTGACTTACCTTGCTGAGTTAAATAATCTAGAAAAAAGATTGACCATTGCATTGCACTGCATTCGCTTACATGTATTCACATACTGTAGGGTGAGACAGGCTAACAGGATTAGAAAGTAATACGATTAGGTGGAGAAAGAGGGAGGTTAATCACTGAATCTTCGTTTATCGATTCAACATTACACACGTGCAATGCGAATGACGCAATAACTATCCTGGAGATTCGGAAAATTGTAACGAACAACAGGGGAAGGATTATATATATGTATAGAGCAAATTACGAAACCATATGACGAAATTGATATGACTATGAGCAATAAATTGTGTTCATCCAATTGTTAATCCTGCATCATCACTGTGTGTGATAATTAAAATGTACTTATCGAATTATAGAATTACATTCTACCACAATGCCCAAGTTCTACACTTACGTCATCCAATTAGTAGCACGTTTTATTATTCCTTTATGTTCCTAGTGTGTCGGTGGCACAGTGGTTAGGACTCTCGCCGACCATGCACATGGTCCGGGGTTCGAGCCCACACATGATATCTATGGTCGGCCTGCAAAATTTGGGCTACCGATATTCACGCTGAAAATTCCATACTTGTACCAAAAATACGGTGTGGAATCAAGCTGTAATCAAAAATATAAAAATAAATAAAAAAATAGTGGAACAAACAACTTCAAACTAAAGCCTTGAAGTTTCGCTAGCAGTAGTTTTATCTTATTACGGGGTAGGATTGCCAGTCTCATACCCAACCTTCCCTTTTTGTCAGGCTTATGACCAGCTAAGCAAAGTTTAGGAGTGTGTCGATCGGGGCTCGAACCCTGCACCAACTCAGTGGCTGGTGAGCGTCCTACTACTGTGCCAACCGCCACAAAGCCAGCTTCTCGACCAGTAATCGAGCTCAAGGCTTCCAGTAACACATACTGTCATAAATCTATGCTTGTTTTCTTGAATGGTATTAATCAAATCAATATGTGCTGTCGTCTGGATAATTTCGGTTGCCAAAACAAAATTGTCGTGGAATTTCATCTCAAACCGCATAATTCGAAAATGATGAATTTGACTGCCTATATCTCACCAGTTCGACCAAGTAAAAGTAGTCAGTCAGAATTGGGATGCTGACTACTCGTACATCTCTGCGTCGTTGGCACAGCTGTAGGATGCTCGCCAACTACACCTGTTGTTCGGGGATAGACCCCTGGCCGACGAACTCCGTTACCTCGCTAGGCCAGTAATAAGACTGGTAAAGAGGGAAGGTTGGGCATGAGGCTAGCAACTCCATCCTGTAGAAATAAACACCACCGCTACAGAAACTTCAAGCCACTAGCTTGAACCCCTATGAACTAATTCAGCACTTTCTCTCTGATTAAGTTAAGACCGAATACACCAGCGATAGTCTCAACCACCAAACCGAACGAAACAACCATTCTGTGTTTCAATCATGGGTGGGTGCGTACTGACGAAGAGTCCCAAACACTAGGGTGAAACAGTTGACTGTCTACTACTCCCAGCTAGTTTTCCAATAGTTCTTTCACCGATGTCAGCTCATGATATAATCCTGTAACCAATCAAATCAAATGTCTGAAAACCAACACTTGAATATCAATCTGAGGCACATTAGCGACTGGCCCTATTCAGGTATGTAGTAGTTGCCTGGGTTCTAGTTAGAAGTCGTGACTAGGAAGAGTGGGGTACAGCAGGTCAAGTGTGAGAAAGAATACTCATCACCGATGATATCAGTGAATTACCAGTCACTCTATATCGTAAATTGGCAGAAGTTGGAACTAACTTGAGTGTAGAACATCGGCACCATGGTAGAATGTTATCCCACATTAAATAAGTTTATTTTATATATCACACACAGTGATGACGCTCTATTAACAACTGGATGACGTTACGAACACAATTTATTGTTCATAGTCATATCAATTCAGTCATATAGAGTTTCGTAATTCGCTTTATACATATATAATCTTCCCCTTATTGTTCATTACAAATTTCCAGATCTCCAAGATAGTCGTCGCATCATTCGCATTGCACGTGTGTGGTGTTGAATCGATAAACGAGGATTCACTGCTTAACCTCTCTGTCTCCACCTAACTATATCACTTTTTAATAGTCTCACCTTCTCTCAGATTGTCGTTGTGTGATTACATGTGCATGTGAATGCAGTGCAATAATATTAATAATAATAATTTACTTTATTCCAAATCAGTACTTGTGATACACAATGGAATTCTCAGAATTTTACTACAGACAGTATTGCATCCAGTTAGTATAATTATATTTTAATAGTTTACACACAATGATAAGTTTTGTTATTGGTAATATTCCGAGCAAAATTACTGCTGCCCGTGTTCACACCACTGTTGGAATTGTTTTATTCACACATTTATGATTTGTACTCATATATGCAGTTCATTATTATTATTATTATTATTTTTGCTCATTCATGTTTTTGTATTCATAATTATATTCCAAGTTGTTGATAGTTGTACTGAGTCACCCTTGTTACATGTATCCGGTGTGACTTTGATGAATATCGATTCTGTTATGAGTCTCTCTCTCTTTCCATTTGTTCATGTTTGGTTTTACAATACACACATTGTTCCAATCGATATTGTGGGTTTTGTCCCATGCATGTGCAAGGTCTTGCAGATAGAATACGTAGACTTACAACAGCACCAGAGGACCAGCGTAAAGAAATAAAAGTCCTATTCAAAATGCTACTCGAAAACAACTACCCTGGAGAATTTATAAAAGATAATATAAAAAAGAGGGTAAAACCGGAGAATAACAAGAAGGAAGAATGGAAAAAAACAGTCGCAATACCATATAAAAATGGCACATCAGAGGCAATACAAAGAAACCTCAAAAATATCGGAATTCGAACAACCTTTAAATCGACGAATCTAATCAAAAATAAAATAAATCAACTGAAAGATCCCATAAAAATGATGGATAAAAACAATTTGATTTATAAAATATCTTGTGCTGACTGTCCAACTGAATATGTGGGGCAAACGTCCAGATCACTCAAAATAAGAGTGAATGAACATAAACGCCTAACTAAAGGTCAACCAACAGGGACACAAGCTTACAAAAACCTTGGAAAAAGTTCATCGATAGCTGCACATGCATGGGACAAAACCCACAATATCGATTGGGACAATGTGTGTATTCTAAAACCAAACATGAACAAATGGAAAGAGAGAGAGACTCATAACAGAATCGATATTCATCAAAGTCACACCGGATACATGTAACAAGGGTGACTCAGTACAACTATCAACAACTTGGAATATAATTAATTCTAAACACAAACACATGAATGAATGTGGAGTATAATTCTGAACACACATATGCACACACAAAACATGAATGAGCAAAAAAATAATAATTAGGAACTATATATATATGAGTACAAATCATAAATGTGTGAATAAAACAATTCCAACAGTGGTGTGAACACGGGTAGCAGTAATTTTCCTCGAAATATTACCAATAACAAAACTTATCATTGTGTGTAAACTATTAAAATATAATTATACTTTATTTGATCTAATCCACAATGCTCAAACTTTTTACTGATATTAATCCAGTTAGTATATTATCAATAAATAAAATTCCACATTGATTATGGGTAATCTTGGTTTGTTTTGACAACAACATATTGGCATGTCGGTCGGTAGCAAAGCTAAAAGTTAACAGAATGTTTGAAGGTGCTAGAAAAGTAGATACTAGCATATTTACTGGCGTAAGCGGTAACAAAAAATGGTCGAGATATACAGAGTGTGAAAGAACGAACAAGAATGTTTTAAGTAGAGTTTGTAAGGAAGAGAGAAACAAAACAGCACACAACAAAAAAAGAGAAAAGGAAAAGAAAGAAAGAAAACGTTGTACCTATAAATGATATGAGTGGGAAAGACAAGATACAGTTGTTCAACTGACTATTTAATAAGTCATAATTTTCACGCCTAATGCTTTCTTCTTTATTGCACAGAACACGAGCTAAATAGGGAGGGTATGGTTGAGTTTTCCTACTTGCTAGTGTGAGCATATCGTTTTCTATATAGACAGCCTTCTGGTTTTGCCCCTGATGAGATACAAGGAGAGAGTTGTGAATAAAGAGTGTTAGTGGTGTGAGTTAGATAGAATGGATTTATCCCATTTTTCACATGAATCCAAGTGCCTGTGTCGACCAGAATATTAACAAGCTGGTTAATTGGCACGTTGCTTACGATGACCGAGCTTTTTCTAGGTTATTTAACTTATTACGGTCAATCTTTCTAGGTGTCTAGCTAAAGTGTGTTATGTTCCAATAGTGCAATTGACCCGATCTAATAGTTTGACTGACCCATGTAATTGACCTCACAGTCATCATTGCATGTTATTCGGTAAATTATATTACTTTTCGTAATTGGATCTATTGGGTCTTCAAGCCGACAAATTGTATTTCTGAGAGAGTTGGTTGGTTGGTTCAAAGTGTCACCCTAATTCCAGCTTCATTGAGAATTTTAATTAATTCCTCAGACGTTCTTTCCTTATACAGCGAAGTTGCAGAGGCTTTGAATTCTACATTATTTTCGTCATGAGTCAACCATTGGATTGGTCTATGAGTTGTTCGTCTGGTAACCGGAAGACCTTGAGTTCGAACCCCCCTATGGTGGGTGCGTACTGTCGAAGAGTCACAAGTACTAGAACGAAACATCTGTCTGACAATACTCCTTATTGGTTTTCCATAGTTTTTTAATCGATGTCAGCTCATGCTGAAATCCGGTGATCAATCACTTGGGTTAACATGGGTGTTTTTCAACTACTCACATAAATCAATAAGTAGTATATACCATTGTGTATTTATAATGTCATTTCACACATTTTATTATCTACACATTTATTATTATTATTATCATCTTTACAGCCGAATTTTATGAGAACATTCAACGTATTCAACCGCTGGAAGTATTCAATTACAATTTCTATACCTCAATGCGAATATCACTGTGTACAGAAGGTTGTAAATGAAGGCTATCTCAATCACACTACAGAGTCCTGATATTCGTCAGTTGACTGTTTCTCTCAGGCAGATGTGTCTTCAGTCTGTTCTTATTTTGCTTTTTCTCTTACTTTTCATGTACATATTTCTTTGCTTTATGATTTTAAGTAATAAATTACTTCTTGTCTTTTTAATAGGATTTTTAAAACACGAAGTGGCCTTTTTCTTATAAATTTGGATAGTGTTATATTAACAGATACAGGATGGAGATTATCTGAAAACTGTTGTATGCTGTGCTGTGCTGTACATTTCGAACAACAATCTGATATCCTTCACATAATCCTCCAGTTTAATGATATTAGATAGTTGGAGGCGATCGGCCACAGGAAGACTTGCTTGACCTAGGTTGTGTGCTAGTTGGCACTCACAAGTCAAGTAAGGCGTATCTGCAACCTTGAAGGAACTCATGTCCCTCTTTCTGAGATTCGGACCTGTATCACCCAGTGCCGTCTGCAGTTAGAGACGTTACCATTGAGCTAGCTATTCGGGGTCGCGATTGACCTCCTGTAGGACTGTAGTGGGTATTTGGAATGGACAATACTTACTTACTTTACTTTACTTCGGCTATCTCCTACGGGAGGATGAGCCGGCTTCATGAACATCTCGAATCATCGCTGCCCAGGCGCGGCGATCTGATGCAAGGTTTTGCGACAGGGTTATCCAATTCTTGTTCCACACGGAGTCCGTAGACGGTTTGTAGCCCCAGGCACTCCATATCAGCCTTGACTGTACCAAGCCATGTTTCAGCTGTCCACCCCTGCGACATCGCCAAGATGGTAATGGCGAGGGATTTAGAACTGATTTGACCAGATCGTCATCTGGTCGGCGCAGAACATGGCCAAACCACCGAAGGGACGTTGTTGGACCAGTACTGGAATTTGGTTGATGTTGTAGCAACGACGACGCACTTCTTCGTTGGAGAGTTTGTCCTGCCAACGAACATGCAGAATGTACCTGAGGCACCAATGGTCTACTACCTCGAGTCTGCGTAAATCTTCCGCGCGAAGAGGCCAGGTTTCACAGCCATACAGGAGAACGGGTCGTATGGAGCTTGGTAGACCCGAATTTTAGTCCTGAGACTGATTTCCCTCTTGCTCCATAGAACGCTCCTCAGCTGTAGAAACGCATTCCGGGCGTTGGAGATTCGCGCATTCACTTCGTTTTTCGCTTGACCGTTGGGGAGCATTATGGATCCCAGATATCTGAAGGATGGCACAATTTCAATAGGTGCTCCATTCAGGGATAAGATTTCATCATTGCTGGTGGATGTGTTCGAAAACATTTTGGTTTTGGAAGTGTTAATTTTCAAACCGATAGTAGGCGCGAGGTGGTTTATCTGATCGAGCGCCTGTTGCATATCGGGGAAGTTTTCAGCTAATAACACGACGTCGTCGGCGAATTCGAGGTCGGTTATGTGAATATCGGGCGAAAGTTGGACGCCGTGGTGCTCGGTTAGGGCGTGCCGCAAAATCCAATCAATTGTGAAATTGAACAGGATGGGGGATGCTGGACAACCTTGCCGGACACCGCTGGTTACCTCAAAAGTGCGAGACTCTTCACCGTTCACTCGGACTCGAGCTTTGGTGTTGGAGTAGTATGACCTGAGCAGGTTGATTAGCTTGGTCGGAACTCCGTCGAGCTCCATTAGATACCAGAGTGCTCCTCGATCAACTGAATCGAATGAAGCAAGCAACCGTCGGCTGTTGGAATTTGTCCCTGTGTTCCAAAATTCTTCGCAGTGTGAATAATTGATCAACACAGCCTCTTCCAGGTCGAAATCCGGCTTGATTTGGCCTTGTTCGCACGTGGCGTTCGGCCGCGAAGCGGTTCAGGAGAATGGAAACAAAAACCTTAGCAGCGATATCAATCAGACTTATGCCTCGGTAGTTCTCGCATAGTGACCTGTCTCCCTTTTTGTGGAACGGTAGCAGAACTGAGGTGCTCCAATCGGAAGGAATGGTTTCGGACTCCCAAATTGAGCAGAACAGCGAGTGCAGCGAATCGATTAGCGCTGGAGTGCAGGCCTTGTATATTTCTGGAGGTAGACCATCTTCGCCCGGAGCTTTTTTGTTTCTGAGTCTGTTAATTGTTTTAGCTATTTCGGTTGGAGTGGGTGGATCGCAGTCAACTACGTAGGGTGTTGGTAAGTGTCGTATCGGTCGATGAGACGGTTGACCAGCGTTGCGATTGAGTAGCTGCTTGAAATGTTCGGCCCATCGTTCCATCTTACCATTGGTGTCCGAAATAATTTCTCCTGATGCTGTGCGTAACACAGCATGACTGTTAAGGCGTTTGCCAGATGATAGGCGTATGAGGCGATAAAGTTTTCCGAAATCGCCTACATTTGATGCTGCTTCCATGTTAGTCGCCACATTAGACCAATAGCGATTTCTGTCATTCCTAGCAGACTGTGTAGCTTTGCGCCTGAGGGAGCGATAAACTGGAGACTTTGCTAGGCGAGCGTCTCTGGCTTGCGAGGATAGATGCATGGTGTGCTCTGAAATCCAGTCTTTCTGCTTCTTGGATGTGGTACCCAAATGCGACATTGAAGCTTTAGAGACTACTTCTTTGAAATGATTCCATCGTGTCTCAGGTGTATTAGAAGATGTGGATGTTGGTTCATCTGCGGCGCTTAGTTCGGCCTGGATTTGTTTGGACAAGGCTTGTCGCTTTGTCGAACATTGAAGCGGGGCAACATTGATACGCTTCGGAGGTCGCGCTTCTGGCGTGTTGTTAAACGAAGTTTGAATTTCGCCCGAACTAGAGTATGGTCTGATCCCCCTTTATTTCCGGCCTCTGCGCCACGATAGGATCGACAGTCTTCCACCGAGGAGATCCAGCGTGAGCGCACTAGGATGTAGTCGATCTGATGTGCAGTGCGACCGTCGTTCGAATACCAGGTGAGAAGATGTTTTCTAGGGTGTTGAAATCGAGTGTTGGTGATATATAATCGATTGTAATCAGAAAAAGCTAAAAGTCTATCACCATTACGGCAGCGCTGATCGAGACCGTGTTTGCCTAGTATATGTTTTGTCGCGTCGTCTGAAGGGCCAGTGCGGGCGTTCCAATCGCCGGCTACTATGAGAACGTCACGCTTTGGGATTTTGTTGATTGCCTCTTGAAGATTGTCATAAAATTCGTCTTTGATACTTTCATCAGAGTCGAGGGTTGGGGCATAGACAGCGAGAACAGAAATGTCGAGCGGGGAACCCTTGAACCTAGCGATTGCAACTCTGGAGTTGACCGGTTCGAATGATATTAGGGCATTATTGGCTTTGTTACTGAGAGCAAATGCTACCCCATGTTGTCCCGAATTATTCTGGGGTCCACTATGAAGCAACCAGAATGAAGAATCTGTTCCAGGTACGGCTATTCGGCGGGAGCCATGATCGGGTAACCTCACTTCAGATAGACACGCTATGTCCACCTTGTAGTCGTATAAAGAACGCATGGTGATAGACTGGCTACCAGGATCCAACAGCGTCCTAACATTCCAGCAGCCAACAAATAGTTGGTTTCTAAGTGTTAATTTCCCAGCTGGCTTACTTTTCACACTGGCCACCGGGTGAGCACAGGGCGCGTCGCTTACCGGGAACGCCGTAGCATGGTGAGAGTTGTTTGTAAGAGAGTTCATGGGAATTTGGTACGAGTGATGTCCCCAGCATCGCTCGGCCTTTTGTTTGAGAGTGCAGCTCTAGCCTTTACACAACCAAGTGTGACCTACAAGGCAGTAGGAGTGGAGTAGGAGTCCACTATCCATTGGCAGCCGGTGACCGGAGTTCGGTTCATACGCCTTTTTGAATGGGGCCAGACATCCAGGACATCCAACAAGCCCTTTGTCCATACGTCTGCCGGTGAGCTCCAATGAGCTTCATACGCCAGTCGTTGGAGGTTTGGAATCAGGGTTTAGCCATCTCCCCTAGACTGTCATCCAATGGACAGTCAACCCGGTGAAGAGCGCCGGGCATCCGCTTCCGCCCTCTCACTTCGGTGAAAAAAAGCTTGCCATCACGGTGCACATTGATTTGTTGATATTAGATGGTTAGAGGCACTCGCAGTAAGCCTTGAACCTAGGTTTTGTGCTAGTTGGCACTCATCAGCACCATGATGACGAGCTACCTAGAATGGTGGCCACATTGAAAACCTGACTGCTAGAATTCAGTCTGCACTGAAGAAAGGGCTTGACACGTCACACTAGTTACTAGTGTCCAGTCAAAAAATCCTCCACTTTATATGACTCTGCTCTGGGGGGGGGGAGTTCATCAGCATCTTTGTTGGCAAGTATTTATGTTCTCAAGAGTTGATTTGTAAGGATTAGATTTGTTTTTTTTTTTGAGTTTCACCATGAATGGATATTAGTTAGAGAACTATTGAAAACCAGCACTAAAGTACTTGGTAGCTGTTTCATTCTAGCTTGGAACTCATTGGCAGTATGCATCCACTGTCAGAGTTTGAACCCAGAACCTTCCGGTTACAAGGCAAACTCGTAGACTACTATTCACCCACTGGCAGCCAACTCAATGGCTAACCCATGAATCGTGACCTGTAGGGTGCAGCAGGTCGGGTGTGAAGACAAATACTCACCGAAGACATTGGCTGGCAGTTGCGTCATATCGTGAATTCGCAGAAGTAGGAATTCATGCGTTGGCCATTGGATCGGTTCCCAATGGCTTATTGGTCTACGAGCTCGCCTTGACGCCAGAAGGTCCTGGGTTAAAATCCCGTTGGGTGCGTACTGCTGAAGAGCCAGTTCCAAACTAGGCTGACGAAAGAGCTATCCAGTACTCCCAGGGTTTTCCAATGGTTCTCTAACTAATATCAACTCATGATGAAATCCTGTAACCATGATTCCTAACTTCTACCGATTCGTGATTTCCGTGTGACTTCCACCAAAGGCGAGTATTTATTCTCACTGTCGAGCAAAGTTAGAACTCATAGGTTAGCCATTAGAGTCAGTGGAATGGTCTACGACCTTGCATTGTAACCGGAAGATGCTGGCTTAAAAACCCAGGGGGTGCATACTGCTGATTTGCCCCAATCACTAGGACGAAACAACTGGCTGTTCATTACTCTGTGATCAAATTATTATCATTATGACTCGTCATTTGGTTTTCAGAGTGGAACACAGGTGCTTAGCATCGCAT